CGACATTGCAGTTTGAAATACGGAAGGAACAACAAGCTATCAACTCGTTCAGAGAGTTAGACGAGTGGTGTAACTATGCTAACGACAGTTTTAAGGAAACGGCTATGGAGTACGAATTCGCTGACCGCCTGGCTGCAAAGCATTCAAAGAGCAGATTGAAGGAATATGAACAAATTGCATGTTCTAATAATGATTTCAGCATAATGAATATGATATTACGAGAACACTGCTTGCTACCTTTGCCTAGTTTTTAACCAGAAGTTTGGTTTTCAGGTGCTTATTATAACAAACAACTACAATTTTAGTGGGACAATTTCAGTTCTTCAACGGCTGTACGAGGCTTACTTTCCTATCACTATTTACTGTGGCCCTTTCTATCATGAAAAGTTGATAGGTGATAGTTACTTTGAGGCGAATTGCACGCAGACATATCATTTTTATTATTACAGTTTGTTGCGTAATTTAGATGAAAACTTCCCACGCCTTCGTCCTAAAGTGAACTACATTCACGTCGCAGAATCTCAAATGGTTAAGGGCTACTTCGGTTTTTACTGTGCTACAAAGGCAATAGAACTTCGCCTACAGAACGTTAAAGGAAACGTTTGCAGAATTTCCATTATTGAATATTGATGTAAGCAAAAAAACGTTATGTTTTTTCAGGATTCATGGTGATTTCTGATGACACTGTATTTAATCTATGGAACAGCAACTATCCTCTCAATAAATTTACTGCCTCTATGACTACTGCAGAGTATAGTTTTTAATTGTAATTTTGAAGTCGTTTGCAATTAGTCAACGGATTCAAGGTGCAGTGAATACAGAGCTTAAAAATTTTTCATTTTGGCAGTCAAGGTCGTTTTTGTATAGTTCGCATAAAAGTGACATTTTTAAGGCATCTTGGTTGGATGTGGTACAATTTTGACATTGGTCTTGCAGCTCTAAACAGAACTGTTGTTATCCTTGAGCAAAAAAGTAAAAATAACCCCAAAATGCAACACATTTTAGACACCTATACAAAAAATGTTGGTTTTTTTTTT